AAAAAAAAAAAAAAAAAAATTCCACCTTCAGCCGCGCCCTCTCTCCACATGGGTTTCCACCTGCTGCTGCACATCCTGCGCATCTAGCTCTAACCCTACCCTCCTGCCTTAGCCTCTTGAGTGGCTGGGATCACAGGTGCCCACTGCCATGTCTGGGTAAGTTGTTTTTAAAGTTTCAGTAGAAACGAGGTCTCACTATGCTGCTTAGGCTCGTCTTGAACTTCTGAAATCAAGTGATCCTCCTGCCTCGGCCTCCCAAAGTGCTGGGATTATAGGTGTGAGTCACTATGTCTGGCCAAGAGTATGACTTTAGAGCCAGAAAAGTACTTAGCAGGTGAATTCTGAAGGTTCTAGAGACGAAGGAGCGATGGTTGCACAGCAGTGTGAACGCACTCCACGTCACCGCACTGTGCGCTTAAAATGGTAACATTTATACTGTGCATATTTCACCCCAGTGAAACAAGAGAAAAACCATCCTGTCACTCTCCTGGGGGAGGCCTTCACCAGGCCCTGTGTGGGTGCAGGCCAGCACTGGCCCCGAGGCCCCGACATGCTGCAGTAGGGACCCACTGTCTGGCTCTTTCTCCCTTGTCTGCTCCTCCTTGGAGCCCCAGCCCCCTGAGGGTGGGACTTTGCTTTGCTGCCTGCTGTATTTCCACAGCCAGATGGTGCCTGGCACAGAGAGGCACTCCATAAACACCCAGCCAATGAGCACAGCTGCAGGCTCTCAGGACGGCTGTGTGGTGGCCGTGCAGCCCATCAGCACAGGCGACCCCAGGACAGACAGTCTTGGGAACAGCTCCTCGGTGGCAGCTGCATCGGGAGCCAATGCCACCAGATCCTGGGCTGTGGGGAGGGAGGCGGGAAGCAGGTGCCTGAGATGGGCTTAGTGTGCGCCAGCTTGTGGCTGGAGGGAGGTCCCTTCAGTTTGAGACATCTGTGTTCTCGTTTGTGTACTAATCACAATGAGGGTGTGCTGAGCCACTGAGGGTCACTGAGAACACGGAAGTGGTCCACACCATGACGCACTACCTGAGCCAGAGGCTCGCTCCCTCCCAGGCTCTGCTGCCTCCTTCTGCCTCGTGTCCCTTTCTGATTGTGACCCTGATGTTCCAGCATTTGGTGGAAATGTCACTGTGACATTTGTACCCATTTTTCTTTTCAAAAAAAATTTTTGTAAGAACACTTGACATGAGCTCTGCCCTCTGAACAGCTCTGGGTACGCTGTGCAGCTGGGCGGGCTGCAGGCCCAAGGTGCACAGCAGATCCCAGAAGTCATTCATCTGGCATGGCTGAAACCTCAGGTCAGCTGCACGGAAACTCCCTGTGTTCTGCCGCCTTTTCTGTTCTATTTTCTTTCAACTGAAGGAAACTTAATGGTAAAATTAGTGAGTGTTATGAAGCTAATTCATAACTCAGAAGCAGGGAGGTTGGAAAGAAACACATTTATCTCTGTTCCCAGTACATATGACACCCCCCACCCCAGGCTTAAAGAGTAAGGGCTCACTGAAACTGAAGGTTGACCTGAAATCTCCCTTTTTTTTGAGAGGGAGTCTCGCTGTCACCCAGGCTGGAGTGCAGTGGCACAATTTTGGCTCACTGCAACCGCTGCCTCCTGGGTTTAAGCGATTCTCCTGCCTCAGCCTCCCGAGTAGCTGGCACTACAGGTGCCTACCACCATGCCCGGCTAAGTTTTTGTATTTTTAGTAAAGGCAGAGTTTCACTGTGTTCGCCAGGCTGGTCTCCATCTCCTGAATTCATGATCCGCCCACCTTGGCCTCCCAAAGTGCTGGGATTACAGGCGTGAGCCACTGCGCCCAGCCAAAACCTTCCTTTTTTAATGCACTGAAGTCAAATAGTCAAACTGATTTTTCTCTTTTGCCTCTCAAGGTGGCTGGAGAGCTGTGGAGGAGACCAGCTCTGTGCCTGCAGCCCCTGGTCCCCTCCCTAAACATCTGCAGCAGCTCACATCAATTCTGACAGAGGATAGAGGGGCAGGAAGGGTGTCTGCCACCCAATTCCAACTCTGCATGGAAGGCTTCCGTTCTCCACCCCAAAACTAACCTAAAACCAGAAGGAATCAAGACACTCATTTGTATAATCCCATGAAAAATAAGTCAAGTACAACGTGGATCTATATAGCAAAATACATCGCTGCTAAAAGCACACAGGTGAAAGCTGTGTTAATTCCAACCTCAACTTCAGCCTGAATTTCCTTCAGCGCTGCCAGCTGCCCTTGTAAAGCTTTTATTTCTTCTTTCTTTTGCGTTTCTGCTTCTTCTGTAGCTGCTTTTCTCTGTGCCTGTAAGAAAATTATTCTTCCATTAGAATAGCTTGTTAGGGTAATCTTAGACGCTGGGAGACAAATTATGGCATATCAACTATGTTTTTTATAAATTATAAATTATAATATTCACTAAGACTAATAATGAGTTAGAAGTAAATCTTTTCAGTGGATTTCATCGATGTTTGTTGGTAGATACACCTGCCATGTCCTCACAGCTATCATCATGCCCGTTTGCAGCCTGGGAGCCCGAGGGTCTCACCGGCAGAAAGCGGAGGAGTGGGATCTGAAGGCAGGAACCAGTGTCCTTAGCCAGTAAGCCTGGGCTTCCCATACACATGGCTCCTTAAAATATTTAGTGACTTATTTATGCACCAAGTGATTTCTTCAACAAAGGATGAGGTCATAACCTCACGAAAGTTAACTTACCTTCATCTCAGCATCTGTAGGTCGGCCATCTATTTTAGCAAATCCGTCAAAAATTGTTTTGTAGAGAATGTTCTTGCGCGTGTTGCTGTCGTCTGGAGGAAGATACGCCAGGGCAGAAGCCTGGTGCTGTCTGTACATGTCCAAAATAATTCTAACCGCTGTCTCTCGGACCTCATACACTCTATGCTCCAGGGCACTCACTGAAAACTAAAAATAAAATTGGGAGGGGCTCTTGTTACTGATTCTTAAAATAACGAAATTAATTTCTTTCAGCATTCAAAAAATGTACATTATAAACATTTGAAACATAAAGAAAAAACATCCATATTAAGTATCAGGAAATCCTTCAAACATAAAACCTCATGGATCTACCGTCTCGATGTGACCCCTGCTGTAATTTCATCACGCTTGGTTTGGGTCATTTAAAGAAACAGAACACTATGGCTGTAGTGTCACTACATCCCCTGTATGTCTCTGGGGCCCATGATTTCTCACCCTCCTTGGAGGTGTGCACTCCTGTGTAGCTGACGTGCAGATTTTGGATTTCGGATGCTCAACCAGTAAGTATAATGGAAATATTCCAGACTCCAAAAACAATCTGCAATCCTAAACACTCTGGTCTTTAGCATTTCAGATGAGGAGCGCCAAACTGTACCTGATATTCTCCACCACACTGTTTTTATTGTCTCTTAAAAGACAAAGACATGTTTTTTATGATTTGTTTCTCTCCACGGACAAAGATCTTCACAGATCACGCACCACTGAGTTGGATTAGACAGCAGGATGAGTGTGGGGGTCCCCATCTCTTGGATGAAACACTGGCTATTTTTCTGAGATCACTGTTTCATTCATTCATGGACCAAATGCTGATGAGACCCTCGCCGGGCTCCAGGCACTGTGGTGAGGGCCGGGCTACGCTGGCGTGTCACACTCGAGGTCCGCTTACCTTCATCACGTTGTCGACTGTGAAGCCTGAGCTCCCGGTGCCCAGGTCTTTCAGCAGCCGGGCCAGGAGGTCCATCTGACTCATCGCCAAATGAACCGAGGAGTTTGCTTTCAATGGCTGCACCAGGTAGGAGGGAATAATTTGGAGAGACTTAACTTCTTTAAACAAAGCCATTTCCTGTGAAAGCCAACGGAACTGGTTAATTTTTAGTGGAAAAAGCTGGAGGCAGTTTAGTACAATTGAGCACGATCTTAAACTAAACATTGAAGAGAAAAATAGGGATACAGGATGATAGCGACAAACAGCAGTAAGATCACCCAGCTGTAAGCCTGTATTTCTATTTAAAGCCTAACAACCATTAGAAATGAAAACCTGAGCCACAGGAAATAAAGCCATGAAGAATAAAACAAGTTCATGACCGATGAAAGCTTTACAGAAAGGGTAACTGCAAACTAGAAGGTGTTTGTTCTCAGTATTCTTCAACTTCAAGAAAAAGGTTTCCTCATTTCTAAAATTCTAAAAGAAATTATAGCTGCTGCTAGAATCATTGTTATTTTAGTATTTTTTAAATATTAGCCAAGGGTGTAGCCATGTAAGATTCTGCAGTGATATGACTGCTAGTGGGCTGATGGAAAAAGTAAGTACCATTACATATTTAATGTCTTAAACAAACACGTCTTTATATAATTAAGATATTTACCACTTAATTGACCAGAGAAAAAAATAAGATACTGATGCATTAAGTTGTATCAGAAATAAACCTGTTTTTAATAGGTTTGTAGGTCCTATCATCTAAAATAATCTCTCATCTTGCTGGCCTGATTCACTCTGTATCTAGGCCTATGAGTGACTCCGTACAAATGTAAAAGGTAAGAGAAGAGCATTCTCCAGGGAAGTAAGGACAGTAAATTCCTTAACGGCAAACAGATGCTGTGAGTGTGTGTGTAGTCTGCTGAGTGGCACACACTGGGGCACAAGAATTGTAAACCTCGAGAGATTTCTTTAAGGTTATCTCAAATAGAGGTGACATTTTAGCACCACCAAACTGCTCAGAAGTTAATGCAGCTTGAAAATAATCAAATGAAGTAATAACATGCGCTCATTTGCAACAAAGCTTTTGAGGGATGAGCCCTCCCACCTCCAAACTCTAGCTGCCTTAACCAGGAGCGTATTGTAGCATCTCAGCACCTCAGCACTTCTCGCCTTTTTATTAGCATTAGTTTTCCTCATTTACTCCGAAAGTTTTAAGTTTATTAAATGAAACTAGATCTGTGGTTCCTCTTATTTTGGAGCAATGACCCCTTTGGGAAACTGTGAAAGCTTTGGAGTCTTTTGTTTTTGAGACAGAGTCTTGCTGCCACCCAGGCTGGAGTGCAGTGGTGAGATCACGGCTCACGGCAGCCTCAACCTCGTGGGCTCAAGCCTCTGACCTTGGCCTTCCCAGGAGCTGGACTACAGGAGTACACCACCACGCCTGGCTAATTTTTGTATTTTTTGCAGAGACAGAGTCTCTGTTGGCCAGGCTGGTCTCGAACTCCTGGGCCCAACTGATCTGCCCTCCTTGGTCTCCCAAAGTGCTGGGATTACGGGCGTGAGCCACTGCATCCAGCCTGGATGCCTTTTTAAGAAGGATCTGCACATCACAACACTTTGTGTAAAACTTAAGTAACTGATAGCTTTCTTAAGCCCAAAGGGGGACTCTTAACTAAGAACTCCTGGACTAGACGAATTCAAGAGCTTATTTGAAGACAGCAAATATATTTTCACATGATGGTGCAGGACTGTGTGCCCCAACCTCTCACATTTCTCTCTACCTCAGTATTTCCCACCATGTCCAGCCTAGAGGAGGCACGTTTGGTGAAAGAATGAAAATATTTCCATTAAGACAGTTATATTTTTTATTTCTTTACCCCCCAAATGTTCTATTTTGGTATCGTTTCTGTATATTTTTATTTATCTAATACATTAATGGCGTATGTTGGATAAAAGAAACATGGGAAAAACCAAACCGTACATTGTAACTGAAGTTTACGTCTAAGATAAAACTGATCTTTTAGAGCATAAGCGAAGTGTGATGGTGAATCCCTAAGCATCATTTTCACACTCTTGAATAGAGACAGAAGAATCTTTTAAGGTGTTAAGAAAGCCAGAGAGCTATAAGAATATGCTTATTATCTACTGTTTCAAATGCTATGGTGAAGTTCAGACCTGAATAAAATTTGCAGCTGTGACACGGACACGGGCAGAAGAATCTCCAGTTCTGGTGAGCAAAACGGGAACGGTCCTTTCCACACAGTGAGCTGTTTCGAGTTTAATCAGTTTATGTTTGGGTATATATTGTGTAATGATCATTTTCAACAATTTCAATGAAGCCTGAAAGACCTACGAGAAAAGTAATAAACACGGATGAGTTACTACAATGGAATTCTACCAAGAGTAAACGTGGAATTTATTATCAGTAATACATATGAACATTAGATTGAAAATTACATCTTGTCTGAAACAATGAAAATGGTAAACTGAAAACTGCTTTCTAAACACAGTACCCTGCATATAGAGGACATATGCTATATTTCACTGTGTCATAAATCACCCCATGTCCTCCCTCCACACCACATATCTAACATGCCTGCTTCAGTGGGTAAGCCCATCTGTGCAATGTTCATTCCTAGGCCCGTTCAGCATTAGAAAAATAGTAACGCTCAACCTCAGCAGGTTTCATGAAGAGTTAAAATGCAAACTGAAGATGTGGTGGTGCTGAACCAGGCCTCTACAAACACCTGGCTCTGCAGACCATGGAAAAGCCAGCACTGAGTGCTCAAGGCCAGAGATAATGGCCCAGGCAAAGGCAGGTTTCCCAAACCCGTCAGGTCAGATCAGTTGTACAATATATTGCTCTTGCTAGAGAACCTCATTCCTTAGTGATTCTACTGGGTTAGAGCTGGTGACCATGTCAGCGACTAACTGGTCATCTCTCAAGCTGCTCTGGTCTTCTGTGGTATGGTGCATAATCTCATCCATGGACTGTGGAGCCAGCGCCAGCTGAGGGCACTCACGGAGGTCACAATGTCCTTTATGGCTCTTCGAACAAGAAAGATGGACGCTCTCAGTGTGTTTTTCAAATCTTCTTTTGGGGTCCCAACAGGTATTTCCATCAACTTCCTATACAAAGCAAGCAATGCATCCTCTCGGTAGGACCACGTCTTGGAATAGGCCCCAGCAACCTGCCACAAAACAGGCGGCATTGGCATGACACCACACAGCCATCCTCCAACACTACACAACTTGAAGGCTTTTTTTTTTTTAAACTAAAATGATTCATTACTAATAACAGAACTTTTACAAGTAAATATGCATATTTAGAGAAATAACTTTTCTGGTAAGGAAAATTTAAGACGTTTAAATATGAAAAGTATCAAAAGCTCCATGAAAAACATTTTAAAGCTGAGAACATGGAGAAAACCC